TGTAACCCTTTTCCAATATTATCAATCCTTATGAAACAAAAGAAACTGAGGTAGTCTGGATAACAACTGCTCTTATTCCCCAGTCCAGTCACACACCAACTGCACCTGCAACTCCTGATACACTGTTCCATACCCCTTCTATCTCCCAGACAGTGAAAGTACCATTCTCAAGAACTATGGAGATAACCCAAGTAGGAAGATGAACTGAGGCCCTCAAAAGAGGTGGTTGTTTGTCCTGAAGACCAGAATCTCTCAAATTCATGCCGTCAAGGGCCTTCTTTTAAAGAGAAGAAACAGAGGGACTTCCCTGGTGGTGCAGTGGTTAAGAATCCACCTGCCAATGCAGGGGACATGGGTTCGGGCCCTGGTCCAGGAAGATCCCATACGTCGCAGAGCAACTAAGCCCGTTGCGCTCTAGAGCCCGCGAGCCCCAACTACTGAGCCCACGTGCCACAACTACTGAAGCCTGCATGCCTAGAGCCCATATTCAGAAACAAGAGAAGCCACCGCAATGAGAAGCCTGTGCACCGCACTGCAACAAAGACCCAACGCAGCCAAAAATAAATAAATTTATAGAAAAGAAAGAGAAGGAAGGGAGGGAGGGAGGGAGGGAGGGAGGGAGGGAAGAAACAGGGACTTCCCTGGTGGTCCAGTGATTAAGAATCTGCCTTCCAATTCAGGGGATGCAGGTTCGGCCCCTGGTTGGGGAACTAAGACCCCACATGCCGTGGGGCAACTAAGCCCACGCGCTCTAGAGCCCGTGTGCCACAACTAGAAAGCCTGAGCACCGCAGCTACTGAGCCCGCGCGCCACAACTAGAGAAGACCACACGCCGCGATGAAAGATCCCACATGCCTCAACTAAGACCTGATGCAGCCAAATGAATAAATAAATATTCTTTAATAAATAAATAAAGAGAAGAAATAATTCTTTAACCTCCAACAATACCAGTCCACCTCACTCTATAGTTGAAGTGCCCAAGAAAAGCAAAGAGTAGACTGAATTTTTGTAAATTTGCTCCTAGAGGTCCTTGGCCATTTAAAGAAATCACCCAAATTCATAAGACTGGTAAACTCTAGTTTTTCAAATGGCATACACTTGAAATAAAAAATACTCTAGGGCTTCCCTGGTGGCGCAGTGGTTGAGAGTCCGCCTGCCGATGCAGGGGACACGGGTTCTTGCCCCAGTCCGGGAAGATCCCACATGCCGCGGAGCGGATGAGCCCGTGAGCCATGGCCGCTGAGCCTGCGCGTCCGGAGGCCACAACAGTGAGAGGTGGGCGTACCGCAAAAAAAAAAAAAAAAAAAAAAATTCTAAATATATTTTAGTAAACTCCTTACTAAGATGAACAAATTGTGGAGGCTTAAAAAATTAAAAGATTTTAATCTAAATCTCATCCAGCAGCAACGACCTCATACTAAAGACCACCTGGAAGGGAACATCAGCTTTAAAATTCTGCAAACATGAATCTACAGATCCTCACCTGATTCGTCTCTCTCTGAATTATATGGGAAAAGGTACAATTCTCTTAACTGCTGTACAAAAATTGATGAGCACAAGACCCTATAAATTACTTTAAAAAAAACAGGGCAGGGTGTCATTCAAACATCTAAAACAGGGCCCAATGACAGTATTAAAAGGTAAAATTTGGTACTTAAGGAAAAATGAATATTGGCATATATTAATTAGAATAAAACTGCCACGTGAAAGAAAGAAAAAAATGTGTCTTCTACGTAATACTGTTTTTAGGATCCGTGACTTTAAAATTAGCTTGGTTTACAATATTTGTCCTTGTAATTATTGTCATCATACAAGTTTTATCCATAAAAGTCCACAATCCCTTAACTTCAATTCCAAAATCCAAAAGGTATAAACAAACAAGTTTTTCATTATTCATTTGGCGGCAAATCCTGACATGAAATGACATGAGGCTATGTATAGTATTTATTTATCCCAGTTGGTGTGAACATTCTGATGTTTTACCGAAGAAACAGTAATGCATTTGATTACAAGGTGCTGCCCCACACCTTTCTGGGATGTTACATAACATACAGTATATGTACCATATTCCTTATCCAAAATTCAAAAAATTCTAAGTTCAGAAGCACAACTGGCCCCAAGAACTTTTTTTTTTTTTGGCCCCAAGGTACTGTAGACTGGTATACTAATTAAGACTAAATCTTACATAGAAAATATAATACTGAGAGTTAATGTAGATTTTACATGCAATAAACTCAGTGTCTTAACTATTCACACATACACAATCCGGTAAAATAAAGCATTATAAAGACTTAACAAACGTCAAAAAACGAACACACCATTACGTGTTTTTCAGGTGATGGGGACATTTGCATCATGCAACATCTAGATCAATTCCTCTTAGATTGAAATCCACTAATTTAAATCACAGTTTAAAAAAAAAAAAACCCAAAGGCTGCGATTGGTAATTATGTTGAAAGAATCATCCACTAATAAACAACATATTCAGTTCTGATTTTTTAAAAATTATCTCAGAAAGTTTAAGATTTAAAATTCTTTCATTCTAGAATACAACTTCTGAACGTTGAACAAATTACAATTGACTTTTTCTGTGAAAACAGAGCCTTGGACAGGGGACAACAACAGTACAGTCCTTAAAGATATTTTAAAGCAAAGAAGTTTCACAGTTCTTTCCTTCCTTCCTCCTTCAGTTGCTGCTTTTCTGGTTTTAGAATTTCAAACAAAGAAATACATATTGGCTCCAATGCTAAGAAACGCCCTCTTTCTCAGCAACTTCCTCTTCCAATTTTCTTCCCTACCGTTGACATATGAGAACAATACACACTGCCGTCCTACCATTTTGATTAACAAAAAGCTCTGAGGCTTGGAAAAATTAAGGGCTGCAATTTATCTATAGTACCCACTCCAAGTCCACAATCTTAACTCATCTAGAAGTCAAATAACAGGGAGCACAAAGAAAGGGGTATTTCACTTAATCAAGAGGCCGGCTATCGAACCTTTCACCCCAGGAATCCAAAGACTTTGGATTGCACTAACAAATGGGAAATTTCTTCCACCCCAGGAAAACTTGGCCTTCTTAGGGAAGAGGAAAAGCTACTGGGCTAGCACCGCTCTGAACCAAGAGTCAAGTCTATGCACCAATAGTTGGTGAACTTTCTTCCACAGGCCATGCAGTCAGGATTCAAACTGAGTTCTCTGAGGTTCTGATCCACTTCAAAGTGACTTTTACAATTTAGTAACGGTCCTTTCCAACTCACAGACTGCACAAAGGGGATGTACTTATAATTAACCATCCAGAGATCAAGACCCATCCTGTTTCCATGCTAGAAGTCAATTCAAGTGTCTGGGACCGGAACCTGACCCCCATCTGTGACAAAGCAAACTTCCTTTAAGTGGACAATTCCCCCTTGCCCAGTGACTCTCAAAGGAAAACACCTTAATGATGGTAAGCTGTGTACCTTACTGTGTGACCTTGGGCAAGTTACTTAACTCCTCTGAAACTTAGTTTCCTTATGTGTAAATTCTCAAATGAGGCTGTAAAAATTAAACAAGAACATATGTTTGATGCATAGTAGGAGCACCATAAATGTTCCCCCTCCTCCTCCTCCTAACCCTCCTGAATTCTTTGGGGCCTAAATTTCAATCATAGCCCCAAAAGGCTCCAAGGATTCCTTCCTCTTCTCTGATTCTATGCAGAACTAACTGTATAAAACTTCCCCCATCTCAGAGGCTCTAGGATCCTGGAGGACCAAGAAAACAACGGGACTCCACCTCATCACAGCCTAGGGTCCATCCAGAGCCTTCCTCAATGGGCCCCTTTAGCTAACTCTCCTCCTTACTCTGCAGACCATCCTGTACACACACGTACGTACACACACACACGCACACACACACTCCTCTCCTCCACTCTGCAACTTAGGCCAGAGGTCTCAAAGAGCACTTCAACGCCTTCATGGTCCAGATATGGAAACTGAAGCTCCGCCTGGACAAGAACTTGCCCAAGATCTCAGACAACGTCTGGGATCCAACTCATGTACATCTGCCTGCAAAGCCTTCGTTTTACAAATGGGTAAAACGAGGCCCAGAGAGAGAAGTGACTTGCCCAAGGTCACACGACGAGCTGGTGGCAGCGCTAGGTCAGCTTGGGACACTTTCGCAGCTTCACAGACTCGCGGGCCCCTCCAAGCCTCCGAGGGGATCTCCGGCACACCTCTCCCTGGGGAGGCGAGTGTATTGTAAGACGCCACCCCTCGCTGACCGCTCACCGGCTCCCTGCCGGTCTGTGGCAGGAGGCGCGGCACCCACTCCCCCAGGACCCTGCGCTGCTTGGGAGGGGCGGCCCGACCAGGCCCGGCGCCTCACGGCCGGGCCAGCCCGCGGGGACTTGATGCTCACCTGGTCTCGCGCGGTCGCCCTCAGCAACAGAGAGACTGGCCGGCCGGCCGCCCTTCTCCGCACGGGGTCTGTTCTCGCCGGCCGCGTCGCGCGCTGCCACACAGCCAGAGCCCCCTCAGCGCGCTACGCCCCCAGCCGCGCTAAACCGGCCCGCGTCCGCCATTACGCGATTCCCCGCCCCGGGACGCAGCCACACCCCGCCAAACGCCCTGATTGGCTTTCTGCCCCACCCGCCTGGGGCTTCCGGGCATTCCATTGGCCTGAGTAGAATGTCAGTTAAATAGTTACGCAAACGACGTACTCAAGGATACTGTCCCGGGAGCTCCACCCGAGTTACTTCCGTAATCGGAGTAAACAGCAAGGGGCAAACCAAGTGAAGTGGGGGTGGATTTTAAACTAAACCAACTCCTAAATTCAAAGTAGGAAAATCCCACCTAAGAAAGTGTAAAAACGCGTACAAAGTGTATTGAGAGGCTAATTCGTCTTGTTAGAGTTCAAATAACCAGTACCTTTGGTGGAAGGAAGGGGCCAAGCCTATGAACTTTCTGTGGACACCCCTAAAGTTGGTGGTAGTTTTATCTCTTCCCTCCCGGTCTAAGGCCGGGCAAAAAGTAGGATGCGGAGAGTGAGTCATAGGCTCCAGCCCAATGTTAAAGGATCCGTCCGGGCCGAGGCCCGGAGTCCTGGGATTGGGAGCTGGTTCTGAAAGGCCAGGGTCAGGTGAGTTGGACCCTGGTTCAGCCGCCACCGCACTCTGCGACCACAGACAGCTCTCTGAACTTTCCTGAGTCTCAGTTTGTCCTGCAAAGTAAGAGCAGTCATGTCTACCTCGTGCCCTGGGGTATTTGTTAAGGATTCATGCATGAGTGTGTATATGTGCGCCTTGTCGATTATAAAAGGTTGCAGGCTGGGTATCAGTGTGACAAATTCACCTGTACCTCAGTTAGTTCTCTAGAGCAACTTTGTAAGGCAGATACTGTCCTCGTTTTGCAGAAGAGGAAACTGAAAACTCCATGACTTACCCTGAGTCACCCAGGGAATTTGAAATGACCCTGGGACTCAAACCTATATCTTTTGGCTTCCATTCCCGTATTTCTCCCTTCCAGGTGTGGTGTCCCCTGAGAGAGACTTCCCTCCCCCAACCCCTTAGCATTCCAGGGAGGGACTTGAGGGTGCCAGGCCAGTCCCCCATCTCTCTGGTCACCATAAACTTAGGCACAGGCCACCCCCCAGCTGTTGTTAATCACCAAGGTTCCTGGGAAAAGTGATCCTAGGGGTGCACCCGAGCTGTTTCTGGGGGCCTAGGAATCAGGAAGTGGGTAAGGGATGACAGGTGGTTCAGAAACCCAGGTAGAATCCAGAACAGGACGCAGAAGCTCCAAGAGGGGCAGTCTCCATTCCAGGACTTAAATCCATGTCTCTCTGCTCTCAGAACTGGGCTCTTTTCACCACAGAATTGTTTTCCTCAGAAGGGCTGCCTTGGCTATAATTCCTAGTCCTTTTCGCTCTCTGGAAAGGAAGGAAGCCAAAAAGGGAGTGGGAGGGAGAGCAGCCTAAGACTTTAGAAGGGCAGAAACTACCAAGTGGGTGGTGTCCACAAGGCCCCAGTGCCTGCTGAGTCAGTGACCTCCAGGCTCAAGTTGGGCAGTGTGGTCTGACAACGAATGACTATTTAAATCCTGCCTGTGGCCACTGGGTGCTGGGAGGCAGCAGGTGCTATGTAGAGGTCAGTGACTTTAGGGGCAGACTGACCCAAGATGAATCTAAGCTCCACTACTTTCTAGCTCTCAGCCTCACCTAAGTCGTCTCTAAAATGGGAACGGAGCAGTTGTGAGGATTCAATGAGTTCATTGTGGAATTAATGAGTCATGTGTGTAAAGTGCCTGATAGCTATTTATTCATTCATGGATTCATCCATTCAGTAAAAAATTATTACACACCAACCATGTGTAGGGCAGCCCGCCAGTGGTGCAGCTACAATGGGGAGCAAAACAGACTCAGACCCTCATGGAGCTTACAGTTTGATGAGGAAACAAGTTGTTAAACAAATGATCAGACAAATCAAAATACAATTAGAAACCGTGATAAGGAACAGGAGGCAAAGTACAATGTGTTTATGAGAGTAAATGTCAGGGAATGGGGTGGGGACACAGGAAGCTTCCTGAAGGGGTGAGTTGGTGAGTGGGGGTTGACTAAGCAGGTGGTGGTTGGGAGAAGTGTTGCAGGCCAAGAGAAAGGGTGTGGAAGGCATCTAGGCCAAGGTGGATAGTGGCATTGGGGAGGGAGGGCGGAGCTGTTGCTTAGAGCCTAAACAAATAAGGTGTTAACAGGGGAGGGAACCTGGCCTTGAAAGTGAGGCAGCTCTCCAAGGGTCTGTGTTCTTTTCTGATAGTCCCTGCTTTGAGGCCAACCCGCCTGGGTTTGAATCTTGGCTCTGCCATCTCATCTTGGACTGTATGACCTTAAGCAGTCACCACACGTCTGTGCCTCGGCTACTCTTCTGAGAAATGGGAATAGTGATAGAAGGGCATAAGATGCAGAGTGAGGATTCAGCGTGCAAATGTGTATAAAACATTCTGGCGCACAAAAGTCACTCCATAAATGATGCTTGGTCTTCGAAGCATGGAAGGAAGTGAGCCTGAGGCAGCAGATGCATTTGGAGATGCATTTGGGAGAGAGCTGATATAAGCACCTGTGCACTGGGCAAGTTGTCATCTGACCTTAATTGTCATAGAAGACTTTGGAGTCAGGCAAGCCTGGGTTCAAATCACATCTATACCAATTGCTAGCAGTGTGACCTTGGGCAGGTGACTTCACCTCTCTGAGCCTCAGTTTCCTTCTCTGTAAACTGGGGGTCGTAATTGCTTCTATTTCCCAGCGCTGTGAAGATTAAATGAGGTAATAAATGTGAAGTAGTTGGCACATAAGTAGCGGTTGTTGAGTGTTCACCTTAATAATAGTTATTATTATTATTGATGTCAGCAGTTACTACCCGTACTAGATAAGATTCTGGGGCTTTGCTTGAAGGTTGTCTGGCAACAGGAGACTTCGTTTCTCCTTTTAGGCAATGGAGATAGGTTGCTTTCAGAGGGAGTGGTGTTGTGCATCTTAATGCTAATACTGGGAATTCCCTGATGGTCCAGTGGTTAGGACTCCGCGCTTTCACTGCCAAGGGTGCGGGTTCAATCCCTGGTCAGGGAACTAAGATCCCACAAGCCGCACGGCACTGCCAATAAGCACTAACATTGAGCATTTGCTATGTGCCAGCCATGTGCTAAGTGTTTTATAGGTATTAACTCATAAATTCTTACAGCAGTCCTATAAATTAGGTCCTGTTATTATCATCATTTTACAAATGAGATAAAGGAAGCACAGAGAGGTTAAGTGACTTGCCCAAGGCCAGCCAGTCGAGAAACAGCATGGCTGGAGTTTAAACCCAACCTTGGAACTTGAGAGGGATTGCTGGTCTTGAGGGGCGAGCCCTCCCTCTACTACCCAAGGAGTTATCACCTGGAACGATGAAATAATTCATTGCCCATAAATCCCAGGTTCTGAAGACCAAGCCCCATTCCTTTCCCCCCAATTCTAAAAAATAACCCCTGCCTGTTTCCTGTCCCCTGAGGCTGATGAGGTCAGGGAACAGAACTTCTCCCTCTGCAAGGGGAAGCAAAAAGACATGTAGAGTCACCAGAACTGGGTTTGAGTCCCAACTGTGCCACTTAATGGTTCTGTCTTAGCCAAGTCACACCCTCTCTCTGAGCCTCAGTTTCCTTATCTATAAAACAGGGATGATAATAGCTCTGCCTACAGGGCTGTTGTGAGGAGCAGAAAAAACAAGTCCTGCATAAACTATAAAGTGCTCTCAGCACGAGCCTTCCTCTCCTGTTGCTATGGGGATGGCAAGCACTCCAGGAAAGCAGCTGAAGCCAGTATAGCGTATAGCAGGAAAATTGCCATCTCTGGCAACAGTCCTGGATTCGAGTCCCAGAACTCCCTTTTATGCCTGAGTGACCTTGGGGAAGTCTTAGCCTCAGTTTTCTCATCTATAAAATAGAGTGAATAATACTGATCTTGTAGGGCTGGAGACAAAACATAGTGAAAGAATGCATAAAAAGCCATGAGCCAATGCCTAGTACAGAGCTGGCAGAGCACAGTCGGCTAAGGGATTCTAGGGATTCAGAGCAGAGGGACTAAGGAGAATCACCCTGGCCGCTCCACACCACCCCTGCCTGAGGGCAAGAGGGTGGAGAGTACTGTGATCAGAGCCAGAACGGACTCCAGCCACTGCCCTGCCTCTGGCATCCTCAGCTCTGGCTGGGTCCACTGCATCTCTCTCTCTCTCTCTCTCTCTCTCTCTCCCCCTTTCTCGTCAAACAAGTTCTTCTCCACTGAGCAATCCCAGGGGGCCCCCGAACCTCAGTTCCAGCCAAGCTTGCAGGCTTTCCCCGCCTCCACATCCTGAATCCACAGCCTTTGCATTTGCCATTCCTTCCACCTGGAATGCTCTCTCCTCCCGGAGCGACTTTGATGGGGAAGGTGGGGGGCGGTGCTGGAGGGAAAGGATCTGGAATGATGCTCCCCCACCACCTCACTCCCCTTTCCTGCATCTCCCACACTGCAAGCCTGACCTCCCCCTTCCCAGCGTGGGGGACGAGGCAGCACCGGGAGGGGTAGGGGAAGGGGGAGGGCTCAATGAAGGGCCCTCTGTGGGGTTTTTCACCTGCTCAGAAGAGGCAGACAGAAATGAAAGCTCTAGAAAAACGCCTGCCGCTCTGCTCCCGAGGCCCCAGCTCAGTGAAGCCTCCCTGCCTTCCCACTGTGCCATCTTCTCTCCCTCCCCCTCCTCCTGCAGGCAGGTGCCACACAGTCAAGGAACATGTGTGGGTGGCAGGCCAGAAAGACTTGAGTTCAAATCCCATTCCTGCTGCTTACCCAGTGAGTGGCCTTAGCAAGCTGTTTGGCCTGCTTACACCTGATTTCTTTGTAAAAGGACACAACAATCCCTTCTTCTGAGGCTGCTGTGAGGACTAAGTAAGATGCCAGATGAAAGTGCCGGGGCGCAACCAAAGCGCTCAGCAATGGAGATAATAACAGTGATGGCAAACACACCCAGTGCCCATGTGTGCCTGGCACAGCTCTCAGTACCTTGCATATATTAGCCTATTTGATTCCTGGTGAGGTGGATACCATTACTATCCCTATTTTACAGATGAGGACACTGAGGCACAGAGAAGTTCTATAACTTACACAAGGCCACACAGGCAATGAGAGGCAGAGCTTATCTCTGTTCTTACCCATCATACTATGATGCTCTCAGTGGTAGTTTTATTTGCTTTTATCTGTACTGACTGTATGCCCTCAGTACGTACATGTTATTCTTTTTTTCCTCCCACCTTCAAAATCCTGCCTGAATTTTCCCTCCTTTGTTACATCTTCCAGTCTATTAATTTAATGAGCATCTATTGCTGACAGCTCTGGCCAGGCCTGGGCACGGCACTGGGGACCCAGGGATCAATCCATTCAGCCTCTGCCTCGAGTGGCTCCCAATCTGGTGAGGGAGAAAACACATCCATAAAAATTACGGTAAAAGAGGCAGACACCAATTGCAGCAGGAGCTGTGAGCTCACAGAAGCATAGAACTTAACTGGAGGATTGAGGCAGGCTTACCAGAAGAGGAGTCATTTGAGTGGGGTCTTGAAGGGTGAGTAGGAATTCCTCAGACAGTTATGAAGTAGAGACATAGAATATGATGTATAGTGCAGACCCTGCAAGGGAGACTGAGTCAATAAAGGCTAGAGAATAACATGCTGGGGTCAGTTCTATGGCAGGTCTTGTACTGGGCGCTGCAGATACAGAGGTGGAAAGAAATTAACTGGGCCCCCAGGGAGCTTACAGACTTGGCGTCAGGGGATGGAAAGCAACAAGTAAAGCAAAAATAGCAACATTAAAGAAAAATCCAGAGGGGCTTTGGGACTACCAAAAAAGAGACCTAAGCTTGTCAGTGGGTCAGTGAAGGCTTCCTGGAGGAGTAGTTGATGTCTAGGCTGAGATTTAAAGATCAGAGCCAGATTATATCACCTACCACCACCCCAGCCATTACGTAAATTCAACATAAAAACAAAACCAACTGTAAAATGAGAGTAAGGAACTCCAATAAACTTCAGGTTTTTCCGATGAACACTATATAAATGTTTTTTAAATTATCAAACATCAAATTATTTTTTTAAAATAATGCTTCTAGTGCCCCTCCTTTGCTGGTGTTCTAAATACGTACTGCTCTGCTCATTGGGTAACCTGACGGGGCGACAGGCCAGAGGGAGTCAGCCAGGGGAGAGTTGGGGAGGGTGTGGCGGGCAGGGGGAATTTCGCATAAGTACAAAGGCCCAGAGGCAAGAGAAAAGATGGCATGTTGGGGAAAAAAGGAAATCCTTTGATGAGAGCTGGCAAATGGGACGAGGTAGGGACAGAGAATCGGACTGGATTCTAAGGGTGCTGGGGAGGCACGGAAGGGTTTTAGCTGGATGTGCCATGATCAGATGTCCCTTTTGCAAGATCATTCTGAATATTGCTAGAGACCTTTTTGTGGTTTGAATTCATTCATGCAAGAGACACCAAGTACCCACTATGTTTCAAGCACTGACCCAGATGCTGGGGCTGCAAGAGAGAATTAATTAAGGGTTCTGCAGACAGAGCAAGATGTGGCAGGGACATTGAGTGCCCCTTCTACAGAGCGGTCTGAGTGTATAGAGGCTTGGATTGTGAAAGGGTATGGCTTTCACAAAAAGAAAGCCAAGCCCTGTGCTGGACAACGAAGCGGTGAGATGGGAGATGGCACTCAGGGAACCTGCAGGGTACTTGCAGTGGAGAGACCGACAACTCCTAGGAGAGAAGAAGGAAGGAATGAAAGCAGGAGTAGAGGCAATGGGTTAGGGGTGGAAAATCCTGATCCTATAACCTCCCTAGAAGGTGGCCAAGTGGGCAGAGGGGCAGAGGCCCTGGCCAACCCCGTCAGCACCCCCGTGCTTTCTTAGCCCTGCTGAGCCTTGCAGCATGTCTCCTCCTGGCTCCAGAAGTCAGACCAAACCCTGAAGGAGAACAGAGGCGGGTGAGGAGGGGGCGGGCGGGAAACAAGCCCAGGCCTCTCACCCCAGCAGGGCCTTCCTTCCCAGTGGCTGGAGCCAACCCTGCTGAGGAGCCAGAGGTTACAGGGGAGGATTAAGGAGTTGGTTGCTTTTTTACCCAAATTGTGGCTGCATTTCTCTCTCTTTCTTTCTCTCTCTCTCTCTTTTTTTTTTTAAGAAAGAAAAATGCTCCTGTACGCGCACCCGGAGGCTTTTGCAGGAGGCGGCTATTGGAGAACCAGGAAAACAAGCCAAGAAACAAGAGAGAGGAAAAAGACCACGCCTCGCTTGGCAGATTCCTAATGGCCCAGGAGACCTGAGGCTTTACAGTGGGAGGCCGGTGGGGGCTGGCTCGGGTGGGAGGGAAGGGCAGGCCGAAGGACAGCCACTTGCTGGCCAGTGACCTTGGGCGGGATGCTGCCTGCTTCCCTCTGGTGAGAATGGGAGGAGGGGGCAGGGGCAGGGCTGGCTGGCTGAGGTCACAGGAAGGCCTCTTCCAGCCTGAAACGCGATCTCGGGATGTGGGGCCTGCCAACCTGCAGCGACCCTGGGCCAGCAGAGATGAAAGGCTGCCTGTCCCCAGCTTCCGGACCCCCGAGGCCCCAGTGCCTCCAACTTGAAGGGCAGCAAAGCTGCTGCAGCTGGCTGAAGCCAGTTGCTGGGCTCTCCCCCCCACACACACACCTGATGTCATCCAACCCTCCGTTCCCTGTTTTGCAGAGGACACTCAGGCCCAGAGAGGGCTGGTGGCCTGCCCGAGGTCACACAGCAAGTTGGAGGCTGAGCCAGGACTCACCACAAAGTCTTTGGACTCCAAGTCCAGGCCTCATTCCCTTTCCCCGAAACTTGGCTGCCTGGGGGCTTACCCTGGGGAGTTGGAGAGACCCAGGGTTAGGGAGGACAGTTGGGAGCTGTGTCTGTTTGAAGTCACGACTTAATGTTGATTAAAGTGCCTTTTTTTAAAAAAAAAAAAACTAAAAGAACGTTCCCAGCCCTTGCCATGAGCCTGGACTTGCTCTGCTGGCAGGGGAAGGAATGCAGCTCTGGCCGCCACAGCTGCTGGTGGCCAGCTGCGGCCTCAGCTCCTGCCGCTCCCACCCCAGCAGGCAAAGGGACAAAGGCCTCTTCTCAGCCTGTCCCCTCCAGCCCCCTGGATCAGTGGGGGCAGAGCAACAATTAGGAGGCTCTGTCACTGACCAGCTAAGTCACTCTTCCTCTCTGGGCCTTAGTGCCCTTTCTGGAAAATGGGGGCAGAGTATCTGCCTGGCCTATGTCTCAGCACCATTTTGAGGTTTCAAAGAGGTAAAGTTACAGAAATACCTCTCAGCACCTTCTTCTGGCTGAGGGTCAGCCTACTCAGAGACCCCTCTGCCTCAAAGGCCCCTCCCTTCCTCACGCTTCACCTGGCCAGCCCCAGCTTGCTCAGCTCAGCTCAGCCGGACCATCCCTCACTCTGGGGAGCCCTCCCTCACCTCCAGACCGTGATGCTCCTTCAAGGTATTTATCACTGTTGTAATTAAATAATTAATTGTGTAATTGGCTCTGTCTCCCCACTAAAATGTGAATTCTGTAATAATAATAGCTGACACAGAAGGCTTACCCAGTGCCGGAGACTTTCCATGTATTAACCCATTGAATCCCTGTGCCAGGTACGATTCGTGTTCCCATTTTACAGATGAGGAAACTAAGACAATGAGAGATTTAGTAAATAACCTGACGTCACAGCAAGCTGGAGGCTGAGCCAGGACTCAATACAAAGAAGTTGCAGAGGGCTTCCCTGGTGGCGCAGTGGTTGAGAGTCCGCCTGCCAATGCAAGGAACACGGGTTCGTGCCCCGGTCTGGGAGGATCCCGCATGCTGCGGAGTGGCTGGGCCCGTGAGCCATGGCCGCTGAGCCTGCGCGTCCGGAGCCTGTGCTCCGCAACAGGAGAGGCCACAGCAGTGAGAGGCCCGCGTACCGAAAAAAAAAAAAAAAAAAAAAAAGAAGTTGCAGATCCAGGATTCAAATCCAGACCCCAGGCTGCCCCACTAGTCAGGCAGATTCAGCTTGTTCCTTGTCCATCCCAGCTCCCAGAACATCTGGCATACAGTAAGTGCTCCATATACATTGGGTGAATGAGGACACAAACAGGTTATGAATATACACATGAGTATTTGGAAAAGACTAAAGCACCTTCCAGGAGTGAGTTTTGCAGGTGCCACGTGTAGAGCCATGGTGATGGGAGCGGGTACCCAATATATTGTTACAGACCAATTATTGGGCTTCTTTCTCGAACATACAGGCCAAAAACCTGAGACATCATCTCTGATTCCTCCTTCCACTTTATCTGCCAGAGCCATTCAGTCCCCTGGCTCTGCTCGATGTCTCCCAGTGTACCCCTTCTTCTCCATCCTTCAACCCCCATCTTTTCCTTGGATTTTTATAGCAACTCTTACACAGGTTTCTCTGTCTCTAGTTTCTCCTCCTTCAAAGTGAGCCTCTAAAAACAGAAAGCTAATTGTGGGTGCTACCCCTCTTTACCCCCTCCCTCACTAATGAACCTTCCATGGCTCCCCTTTGCTCTCTGGATAAAGCCCACCCTCCTCACCAAGGCTTCTACCACCCAACTCCTGCCTCCACCTGTCCAGTCTCACTTCCTGCCCCTCTCCTCCACATGTCCTTTGCCCAAGCCACTCTATGCAGTAGAAGTTAAGAGCATAGAAGAAGACAAACCTGGGTTCGAGTCTGAATTTTGCCACTTACTAGATGTGGAAGTTTGTAAACAAATCAGTTCCCTTCTATAAGCCTCAGTTCCCACATCTGGGAAAATGGGCATAATTATGATACCTCTTCATAGAGTCAGTGTAAGGATTAAATGAATACATACAGTGCCGAGCACAGCACCTGACATGCCCAATAGTTCCTGTAATTCTTATCCTTTCCTCTGCTACAAAGAGCTTTTCTTTTATTTTTTTATTATTTATTTTTTTATTTTTATTTTTAATATTTGGCTGCGTTGGGTCTTCGTTGCTGCGCGCGGGCTTTCTCTGGTTGCGGCGAGCAGGGGCTACTCTTCGTTGCAGTGCACGGGCTTCTCACTGCAGTGGCTTCTCTTGTTGCGGAGCACGGGCTCTAGGTGCGCAGGCTTCAGTAGTTGTGGCACGTGGGCTCAGTAGTTGTGGCTCGCAGGCGCTAGAGCACAGGCTCAGTAGTTGTGGTGCACAGGCTTAGTTGCTCCGCGGCATGTGGGACCTTCCCGGACCAGGGCTCAAACTCGTGTCCCCATCATTAGCAGGCGGCTTCTTAACCACTGTGCCACCAGGGAAGCCCAAGAGCATTTCTTACTGTCAGTCTTACTATTCTTTATGACCCAGCTCAAATGTCACCTCTTGGAGGAAATTTTTCTTGATATTCATACTCTGTTCCCTAAGTGGAATCAGTCTCACTTTCCAGACTCGCTTGCACTTTGCACCTCTGTAAAGCACTTGTAATATTGTTGTTGCACTCTTTTCCCCATTACCCCAAGAGTTCCAGGAGAGCAGAAACAATACATTCTTAACTCTAGCCCATGCCTGGCATGCAGCAGGTGCTCAAACAGTGTTGGTAGAATTGAATGGAGTCACCACTTTCAGTGCTTTTCTTGAGCACCTTGCAGGGAGGAGGCCTGAGAGATGCTGGGACCTGGTTGCCTGAGTCCCACTCCAGCTCTGGTGTGGGGTATGTTGGTATGTGTATGGGAGTGGAAGTGGGTAGAAGAAACCCCTGACCTCTGGGCTCTTTCTTCTGGCCAGGACTCTTCAGTCCTCTGAGGGAAGAAGAGAAGGGAGAGGAGGTGAGGAGGTCCAGGTGCTGAGCAGGGGTGAGGTAGGGCTATAACAGGAGCTGGGGCGTGGGTGGGAGCTGGGAGACTCCAGTTGCTCTAAGACCAGGGCTGGGCCCGCCAGGACAGGGCCTCATAGCCCAAGTTGCCGCCTGCCATGCCCCGCCTCATCCTGGCACCTGGATTAAGTGACTTTTCAGGCTGTAAAACTACATCTTGATTTGCAAGGAAGCAGAATCCAAGCCTGGCCTTGTCTGGTTGCTGAGCAGGGAGGAAGGGGAGTGTTCCCTTTTATTCTCGTTTTTGTGTTGGCAACCCTTTGCAATCCTGGGCACATCAAAGAAGGTAGTACTCTTTGTAAACCCAGGTTAAGGTCACATTATCCCCAACTGTTGCTTCAGTTGGTGCTCCTGTCACTCCCCCTATTTAAAAATGCTTCTCTCACTGCTTAGCACCCTCAGGATAAAGTCTCAACTCCCAATACAACCCAGAAAGTCCTGGGTAGTCTGGTCCCTGCCTCCTCGTGGACTTTCTCTCGCTTCCCTGTCCCCCTGCCTCCACGTCTTCTGGCCCTTTCTCAGTTCTCTCAAGCACACCTTGTCCTTTCCTCTGGGTCTTCACACATACTGTTTTCTTTGTCTCGAATGCTTTTCCCCATCACCTGATAATTATGTTTTATGTTGAGTGCTTTTGATACCTAAGAAATCTTTGCCTATCCCAAGATCATGAAGTTATTGCCATATGTGTTCTTCTAGAAGTTTATAGTGTTAGCTTTCACATTTAGGTCCATGATTCATCGTGGATTAATTTTTGTGCGTTGTCAGATAGAGGCTGAGACTCATTCCCGCTTTAATTCCTACTCATTCTTGACAGTTCAGCTTATCCCTCACCTCCTTTGAGAAGCCTTCCTTGACTGCTCCCAGATTAGATCAGTTCCTTCCACTCCACAGCCCATAGCACCCTGTGCTTTATTGTAGCACTTGTCACAATTGTAATTAAACAATTATTCGTGTAATTAGTTGTTTAACATCCCCTCTCCTCTTGTATACTGTAGCTCTCTGAACTCAATGCTTGTGACGGTCTTCTTACAAAACTTTGTACTGAAATATACATTCAGAAAACTGCACATATCAAAATATATAGCTTGATGAATTTTCACAAACTGAACACACTATATAACTGGTACCCAGATCAAGATGCAGACCGTTATGATGCTAAACATTTTCTGTACCCAGGAGTCCCCTCCCCTCAGTTATGGCTGTCTTTTTTTACCCTTATATTCTTAGCACCCAGCACAGAGCTAGGCATTATTAAGCGCTCAAAAAAAACAAAAAAAATCCCAACTCCTCGCTGAATGAATGAATTAGTTGATGATGCCTAATTCTTCTTCAAAGAACTAGACATGGAATCCAATTTTGGCTCTGGGTCTAGCTCAGCGTGACCTTGAGGAGGTCCCTCTGCTTTCTGGGTCTCAGGTTGCTTGTTTACAAAATGGGTGGGTGGGTGGGGTGATGGAGGGAGTTTGGATAATAATCCCTTTGGGCCTTTTCCAGGTTATGGCATTTGGGGCAGAATTAGCCCCCTTAGGTTCTGACAATACATTGTCAGGAACTATTTTGGTTTTCTGCCTGGAAATGAGGACCTGGCGGGATTAGAAACTATACCCACGTAGAGCACCAGGAGCCTGGGCCTAAGAGTCAGAGGATGTAGGTTTGAGTCTTGGCCTCGCCTGTGGGTGACCTTGGGCAAGTCCCTTCCCTTCCCTGGGTCTCCTTGGTTTCTTCCCTTAAAATGCGGGGCAGGTTGACCTCAAAAGCTTGACGAGCAGTGATGCTGGCTCCAGGCCTCTGAGCACCAAGTTTCTGTTCCTGGAGCGCGGGAAGCTGGCTCTGGGCTCCTCCCTGCCAGGCACTGTGCGGGGAGAGGAAAGCACTCGATGTGATAACCACCCTGCAAAGGGAACTCGCAGTCTGGCCAGGGGGACCCAATGTTCAGCCAGGAACCGAATGGAAAATGGGCTGATGGTCCAAGTGATTCTCTACGTGTGGGGCTGAAGGGAGAGGAGCTGGAGTGTTCCAAGTAGGGGTAGGAGACCTGGCAGTGGGGGTTGGGAGAAGACAGAGATGGCTTCCTGGGGGAGAAGCCTTTGGAAATTGGCAGGGCAGCCCAGGGGC